TGCTTTATGTCAATCGAGCAGCCAGGTCCCTTATATTTCTTTCGGATTGCATATCAGTCAGTAGCACTAATTATATCACAATATGCGGTAACTTACCTATTTGTGTTCTCAGGTGCTGATTTTGAAACAAACGATGGTCTCCTTCTAACTTGTCGCTTGGTAGGGAACTGTGGGTCCGTATTCATTTGGTACATAGGTGTTTTGTAGAATTTGACGATGTAATTGTGAGAACCGTTTCGAAAGGAATAAATACGATCTTTATTCAAATAGGCAGCCTCTATCTTCTCTTGCTTAATCCCAGAAGACTGCTAAAAAAAGTGAAAAGCAAAGCATTTTTGGCCAAATATTCTTCCAAAAACACCTTCACTCACGCCAATAGTGTCGCATTCACCAAACCCTATTATGCATTGAGTTATCGATTACACTCACACACTTAAACAAGAAGCCATTCACCGCACTTTTTGTGTGAAGCACAGGTCCTTGAACACACCACAGAAACAGAAACTTACAGAAGCTTCTAGTTACAGATATTTGTATTGAAAACCTTGCTGGCTCTCATGAATGAAAAGCATTACTAGTTTCCTCCTCTATTGCTTACTTTCGTTTCAGTGTATTTCTTCCAACCATCGTTGTCTTTCCAATACCAAACCCACAATGTGGATGACTTGTTGTTCGGCTCCTGTATGTAAGATGGTGTCGAGCATCGACGGAGCAATAACCGGGTAGAGAGGGGTGAGTGCATGGACATCTCCTCGAAATTAACTGACATCTGCGATGATGGTGTCACAACAACACTACAGAGTAGAAGTAAAATCATAATGCCTTCCAAGACGATACATTGGGGTGATGATAACTTAATGAGGAATAATCATGTCGGGCCTCTGGTGAAACGGTGTTGAAATGATTTCGTGCAATCAGCTTTAGCATATAATCTTACCGTTACTTTGATGAAATTTGTTTTTAGGTAAGTGGTTTGAACCCAAGAGTAATGACTGATAGTGTATTCTTAACGTCCCGACGAAAGTGGTCTTGAAAGGGATTTTTGTCCTTTCTACAGACTAACATTTCGATAGACTGAGGGAAGGTATTACTGAGAGTCAAGGACCCACTTAGTTCTCTCGATGGCTTTTGCTTTAGTAATCTACACGAAGTTCTTAATCAGAACTGCGATTCACCGGACAATCAAATTGGACAATCAAATTGGACAATCAAATTGGACAATCACACCCAATCATGTAAGGAAACAAAATCAAAAGCATTTTAGTGTGCAATGCTGACAAATTCGTAGGCCAAACCTAATAGTGCAAAGCCGTTCAATACTACTGTTTACCTCTCATCACCTTAGCATGCTAATAAACACGGTACACAGTCTTCGCAATGCAAAAACGAAATATCTCACAACTCAACGAAACAGTGCCTCCTTACTGCGATATTTAGGCATTGACTCTTTCCTCTTTTGTCTTACCTTGATGCAGTATCTTCAAGGTTCACTTTAACTTCTAGATTATCCACGTCACAATAAAGCTCTTCCAAAGCCACATTGTCGGAAGAGCCAAAACTTCTCCACGAATAAGAATCTTTCTCTTTGAACTGCCAACAGTAAGGCATGGACTTGCAACCAGCTGCAGAGGAAAAGTGGAGAAAATAGAGCACTGCATAATTTAAAAGACCAACATGTCAATCGAGAAATTAAACCTATCCACTTGATTAGGGAATTAGCGCGCCAACAACTGAGGTACCTCGTCTCCGTCAGCCAGTTAGTTAGTCAGTTGATAAGTTCATTTATTAAATACTAAGTCAGCCGGTGAGTAGGTTGCCACCATGGACCAGGCGGTCATTCATCCTGTCAATCAGCCCGTCAGTCACTCGGCGGTACCGATTTTTTCGCAGGTAATTGGTCAGTTGGTTAGTCAGTCAGTTAGTCAGTCACGTCAACTGATCTGTATGTCAGTCCCCACAGTTGGCAGTCAGTTACATATTTTAGCCTCGGCCTACCATTCAACAGCAAGTACGTTACCTCCTAACAAGTTGCTAGTAAAAGCTGTAGCTCTGAGGAGTAACACCAGCATCAGTACCCCAAACAAGAAGCATACCAGTAAAATACCATTCCAACTGTTTGTTAAACTGACGACAGAGTTCGAGATCAAATTGATTTGGTAATATGTAACAGTGCAGCAATTCGAAGCAAGCGAAGAAATCGATGTTAGGCACTTAAAGGCAAGTCTGGTGAGTGCAAGGAAGATCTCCGAGTTAGCATTTCGAACATATTCTAAAATAGCAACCACATTTTCCCAGATTATGCTTGGAACTCTGATGATGTATGCCACAACCAAGTGAAGGAAGTAAGTGAAAGATCGTAACATAAACAAAATAGCTACAGTTTTGATCACCTTTACTATCGTGTTAATAGCCGACGAATGTCCGATCAAACGATCAATTTTGATTTGAATTAGCCTTGATTGGATATTGACGGCGGTAAATAAAGAACACAGGCATTTCTTGGCCCGAGTAGCAGCACTGTGATAGAAACCATTCCAGAAACTGACGGCTTGCTGAATTGTTCTTCTATATTTGTTCAAGGTCTTTGAGCAAAGAGTAATCAGTGCACCACACAAAATGCAAATTTGCATAATACTAATAAGGTAAAATGAAAAGTTAGCTATAGTTGATCCCTTATAAGTTTTCCAGAAGGATATCAAGAGATTCTCAAAGGAGGCACTCATATGATTCATGAGCATTCTCTTGCCTTTAATAATAAACATCGCTGCAACATACAAGAGCTGGATTGATCTAGTAGAAAGATATCCTAGCATTATCCACACGCACTTGACAACAACGGCCGTCACAACAAACATGACACAAATTTTTATGGCCGCTGTCGCTGCTAAACCAGTGAGTGAATGTTGGCTCAAACGATCAAGTTTATCATGAATAATCTTTGCGTGATTAGTGCAGATGGTTGACACAGTATAAAAATGCCTTTTGGCCTCTTTAACAGCGCTGGAAACCGGCTTGTGACTTAAACTTCTTGTGCCATATTTGATCCAAAAGTACACCATTCTCACTGCTCCATACAAACAAAGCAGCTCGAAAAAACTTCTCCAGTCGATGCTCAAATTCAAGGTCCATCGTGTGGGAATCTCAATAGTAACCGGGCCATTTAAAGCGAATATCATGGAGGACCTTAAGTAATATATGGAAATTCTTGTCGATGCCAAAAGCATTTTCCCGATGGAGAAGAAGACGTACTTAAAAATAGCCCATGCGCTCACCAATATCATGTTAGCGCCTCGCACTACTATCACCACAGCGAAATATAAGAGAGAACACATATATCCGCACAACAACCAGAAATAAGATCGAAAATGAAATATGCACTCGACCACAACAATAATCAAGAAAAATATGGCGAGAATTTTTATCACCGCAACTGCAGCGTAACCAGCCGAAGAATGTCCGCTCAAGTGATCCATTTTGTCGAAAATGATCTTTGCTTGATTCCAGACGATGGTATATGAAGAATCAAAGTGCATCTTGGCCCGTTCGAGCGCGTTGGAAGCCTTGTCATGCCAAACATTCTCCGGTTTGTCTGTCTGTTCGACGGTTTCGCGACGTTTTTGTGAGACGCTCTTGACAGGCATCTTGTGTCTAAGAATTTGCTTAATAGCAGCGGCAGACTTCCCGTGTCGTTTGAACATTGTTTACTGTTTGAACAGACCCTGGTATTGTAGTTAAATTTATGACGTTCAAAATTCTATAGTTCTCGAAGCATATCACAGGAGTGGCGATTCCGTGATTTTTTCACGAGAGTGAGGTCCGTTTCAAATATAGCATGTCAAGGCGGATAAATGGAGCAAGCGTAATTTAAGAGGAAGTCTTCAAGATTTTCGCTTTATTTTCGTCTGTAGCGTCGAAACAGAGATATCCCAAATAATGATTTGAGGCTAAAATGCATCAAAACTGATTTCGAATCAACAATTTTTTAGAAACTGATTATACTACAAAAATTAACGTTAAAAAACAACGACGTTTCGACCGCTTAAAGGTCATTTTCAGGTTGAAGGATGGGATTCTTCATGCGCTTATATAATCAATTGTACAATGCTAATGAGATACTGACTAAAACTCTAAAATATTCACAGAGAAACAATGCGGGAGATTGCGGCAAGAATAAAAGAAAATGCCAAGGCGAAAGAAACATTAAAATTGAATCGATTAGGTAAATATATTTTCATGGATCGAATCACTCTGTTTGTTCAGTTTTGGTTAAATTTCGCGAATAAAACGAATTTTCAAGATCAAACAGTTAAGTCGAAACGTCGTTGTTTTTTTTTAACGTTGATCTTTCGAGTAAAAAAAAACTGATTTCCTCGGATTTATTGCCACCAAAGCTCCTTAAATAAAGTAATCGTTGCCGGATAAAGATACAGTCACTTAAATTTTTAAGGAATAAGAGATAGGGAAAGATGAGTTAAATGAGTACGATTCTAAAAAAACAGTGGACTTTATTAAGATCTTGCACGAATCACGCGAGAGAAATAACACGAGGAACTTGAAAACAACTTTTGAGGGCCTAATTAAAAAAAAACAAGAATGAATGTCACTCTGAAATGTACTCTGTGCTAAAGATGTACTGAATATAAATTTTTGCGCGTCGTGAAATTTATGATAGAACATGCTCTGCTTCCAGCACGTTAGCATGGACACGGTGTTAGAAAAAGAAGCAAGTCACAATAATTACTTTTGATTAATATGCTTTCCAACACTTAGTTGACCAAGGGTGAAGCCTGGCCAACCGTGTCTGTGAAGATTGCATCAAACATATTTGTGAAAATGATATCATTGCGCAGATCAGCTGTTATGGTATTTAACTGAATAAATAAAATTTTGTCCTCAGATCGAGGTGAAAAGGTAAAAAGGCGAAAGGCGCTTATCTGGGACAATTTCCCCCACCCCACTCATGTTAGGGGATCATTGTCATTTTCTCGGAATTTGCACTTTCGTTTCTATGAAATGTTCAGTTTCTTTAACAATTTTGTTGGCGAAGAGAGTTTTTACACTGTTTTCTGTGATGGTGGCGGATTTTTTTAAACCCTTTTCTTTTGATGGCTTTAATTGCTATTAAAACATCAAACCCATTTGGAAGAGTAGATTTTGCAGATGAAATCACGCTCGTGGCCGCTTCGTTGCAGTTAAAGAAATCAATGAAGAGGCCATATGCAATCCTGGTATAATTGTCTCGTGATTTTGGAGATGCGCGCGCTCTGATGGGTCGAGAAATGAGGTATATCTCGCTATAATTACCTCGTTTGATTGTGGCAGGGACGCTAAATTTCATAATGGTGGCCTCGCGTTTTGTCCATGTCACCCAGTAAGCGATAAACGGGGTAACACTTTTCATTTTTTGCCTATTGAAGAAACCCGTTAAATTCTAGTGGAGACCGGCTGCTCATCTTGATACGAGTAGTTAAAATTATTGTAATAGAATGGTTTCAACAACGACGAGGATTTACAACAGAATTTGAAAGCACCTGAGCAATTATACTAAAACAATTATTCAATAATTGAATCTGGAAAAGGATAACGCTCGAAAAGTCAGCTTTAGAAACTCCTCGCAGTGGCCAATTTACATTGTTAGCTCAGTCAGTGATAAAACCAACTTATCTTGTTATATCCTCCAGCTACGCAGCACCACAGTTTCTATGGAAACTTGCCCTCTTTACTAATTCTTTCAAAAGTAATATACCAAAGCAGTAGTACCTAGTTCCTCATAAGGGTATAAGAATCACTTTTGAATATCAGTCCACAGAACAACAAACAAGTAATGAATTAACAGCATTTTATTATTACTTGCTACACAATGTTGCATGATTACAAAAGCACTACCATTTCAGTCGTATCGTTGTTGAATGAAAACAAAAATTTCAGCTTTTATCAAGTAGTTTACTTACTATTGAGAATCCTGCAGCAGCATTATTTGTCATTAATCATATGCTACAAGCTAAAGCTGAGTCGCCTTTTGTCAGCCTCTAAAAATGTTAAAATCCTTTATGTATTACAGTAGTTAACATTAAATTATATAAACAAAATTTTTTGCCCTTTTCAGTTTGCTAAAATAGCTTACGAATTCGGATTTAATAATCAAATTGTGGAAACTAAAATAAACTACAACATTTGGCCAAGTTAATAACGTGTACTTACTCATTTTCGCTGTCAGACCAAAATCATGCTAAGTTTGACCACCGTACACGAAATATGTCCTTCCCGATTCTCCTTATGAGAGTTGGGAAGGACAGAGTTGTTTGGTAACATGGCCTTGGACTTACTACGAGCAAAAAGGTATAACTAAGGCCTAAGTTGCGAGTTTTCGAAGTTTTTTTTGAGAAGAATATAATGACTCAAGTTCTCACGTATTGACGAAATAATTCTTAAATTGGACTACCTTATGCAAAATGAAGGTTTGAAATAAATTGCGCCTTCTGATTAATTTCTTACTATTCCCGTGCAAATTTTACGATACCTTTGAATATTTTATTAATCTTAAAAAGAAAGTAAGAAAGACATAAAAGTTGAAACATTTTCCTTCGCCACTATATGCGTCCTAACTTTTAGTCGAACACGATTATCCGCGGCTTGCCTGAAAGATGTACTTTCTAGAAAGTGTACAGAGACCATTGCAAATTGAATGGTTGAAGTGGAAAGTTAAAGATTGGACGTTATTGTTCTCAACCAATTGAATCCTTTCAGACGCATCTAATCAGACTGATACTGAATGACATACTCTGGGTAG